TTCTTTTATTGCTTAAATTGATGGGTATTTAAGATTCGTCTTCAACTGAGAATATGATCATTTGACTTGTTATTTGAAATTTTCTAATCGAAGGCAACCTACAAGAAAATTTTAAATGAAAACTTTAATCGAACTTAAATCGCATATTGTGATAATTCATTTTACCCCTTTATTTATTTATTTATTTGTTTTGTGTGTGTGTGTGTGTGTGTGTGTGTGTGTGTGTGTGTGTGTTCATTCTACTCATAATAGTTATCTAAATGAAAGACTTGTTCTACTTGCCTTACGTTTTCTGTTTGTGTTTATATCTTTAAATATTATAAACTCTCTTCAGTAAAATAACTGTAATTTTTCGCATTTTGTTATTGTGTTTTTTTTTTTTTTTTTTTTTTTTTGATCAGTAAACAATACAAAAGAAAGCAAACAAGTCAGTCACTACACTCCCATGGATAAATTACAATGTTATCATTTTGATATCAACTCGCACATGTATGAACAAACAGGTGCTTGTGTATTCGTTAGAAATATGTAAGCATTGTCTTCCTGTTGTAAAATGAGATCAAGCCTTAATACACTATAAGCATGTATGCATGTGTTCTAGTAAATTTATATGCAATCATTATACACACATCGTTCATAAAGTTAAATCACGCACTGTTTGATCCAAAGTCGTCACATCTGTCTCTCTCTCTTTGTATGTGTGTCGAATTTCCACATGTATTTGCTGTTTTTCTCCTTTTTTTTTTTTTTTAGTGTATATTTTTTTAAAGAAATACGATCTTTTTATGTTTATGTGTGTGTGTGTGTGTGTGTGTGTGTGTGTGTGTGTTTGTGCTCAATGTATGTATATATGTACATATATTTCATATATGAAACGAAGATGTTACATATAAAATAACTTGTTTACCTTTTGTCAATCGTTGTTTACCGTAATATCAAGTGATTTGATTCTTTCATATTAAATATAAGTCGTCTGTGTACTTGGAGAAAAAAACAACAACTGTAATTTAATAATAAACATTAATTGTTATTAGATAGAGGGAGAGATCGTTTTTTTCCTTTTTTGCAATAAAACCGGAAGATCGGTATAAATGTAGGACTTTTATTGAAAAATCTATCAACTTGTCAGAAATGCTTCTCCTTTAATTCTATGAAGAGCGAAATACGAACAAATGAAAACCCGGCGGTGCGAGACGGCCCGCTATTAAATACTTTAGAACAGTTGGTCTATTGCAGCCATTCTTTTAAAGACTTTTCAGAGTAATGCCTTATATGTGCACTCCCTAAAAAACTGGACCGATCCGAATCGCTTTCATTACCATACGTTAGTGGACCAAAAAACGTAGGTGTACCATCATCATCAAAATATCATCAAAATATCTCAAAATTTGTGGCCTGCAGGTTGAACACAAAAAACGAGACGGACAGAGAGACAAATAAGCTTAGGTCGAGGCAAAAAGTAATTCGGAATCAATCGATATAATGAAAGTAGTGTGAGTCTGCCCTAAATCCTTCTGGGCATTGCAAGCGTTTGCACAAACTTAATATACCCTTGTACCACAAGTGGTGTAGGGTGTAAGAAGTTCTCCCGGAACATTCTTTCTAAATTTTGTAAAGTTTACATATACATATAATATGTATATATATACATATATATATACATATATATTCCGTAGAATCGCAATCACATCATCTTCAAGGTGATTTGAACAATTTGGTTGCATGGTGCTCCCTCAATCTTCTGAAGCTAAATCTAAATAAATGTAAGAAGCTTTCTTTCTTAAGAAGGAAGTCGTTTAGTACCCAATACTTCATTGATTCGCACAGGTTGGAAGACGTCGATTCGTTCATAGATTTAGGCGTTCTATTCGATTATAGGTTACGTTTCAATTTGCATATTGAGTCCTCGTTAAGCAAAGCTAGGTCCGCTCTTGGTTTTATAAAGAGGTGGTCCAAAGAGCTTGATGATCCTTATATTACTAAAAGGCTTTACACGTGTTTGGTTAGACCTATTCTTGAGTATGCCTCTGTTGTGTGGTCTCCTTCATATAGATGCTACGTAGGTTCAATTGAATCTATACAAAAGCAATTCTTGCTGTTTGCCCTTAGGAATTTGGGTTGGGACCCGATTTCCCCTCTTCCACCCTATGAAAATAGGTTGCTTCTGTTATCCTTACCGTCACTCGAGAAACGTAGATTTGTTCTTGGGGTTTCCTTCCTAATCAAATTAATAAATGGTGCAATTGATTCGCCCGCATTACTTCGTGAGATTTGCTTTAATGTCCCTAACCGCTTCTCTAGGCACTTTATGTTGATAAAGCTTAGTCAATGCAAATATAACTTTGAACTGTTTAACCCGCTCAGAGTTGTTTGCAAGAACCTAAATGATGTCTATTATCTATTCTCATTAACGGACTCTTTAAAGTCCATTAAAGCAATTTTGCTCAACAAGCGCGATTTACCTATGTCGTACTTAAACTGATTTAACCTTAGATTTTGTCATTATGAGTCGAAAATTAATTTGTTGTTAACAATTATCGGTTGCCAAGCTTATGCATGTTTGCGATGGCTTAGGGGTTCACTTGCAATTTGGTCCTGTATCGGTTGTGGGTGTGGCTCTATGCTAATTGTGTACATGCTTTTTTTTTTTTTTTTTTCTTTTTTTTTTTTTTCCTCCTTATTTGTTTTATTGTACTTATACTAAGTTTTATTATTAAATTATTTTAAGATTTACTTAAGAGTCAATTGAACTCGACTGCTATTTTGTTTTAGTTGAGTTTCTTGTATAAGTGGAATAAATAAATAAATAAATAAATAAATAAATAATGTATAAAACGAGACAGGAAAGGCATTAAACTTTTCAAAAACTTGCACAGCATTGTAATATAGATCGGGAACTCTTTAGTAAAATATCTGCTTGAAGAAAGATTGCATCTTAACGCATACACCCTTAGATGATTTCAAAAGAGAAACATTGAAAATGAAACCAGATAAGATAATCAGATAGTAAAAGTAAAATTTATATAAAGAAGAATTACTTACGGTACATTATAAAGTTCGTAACGCTTTAACATTACTCTGATGTTTTTATGAAGAAACAAAGTCGCACTCAGCCGATACTTGGATGCTCACCAATAATATCTGAAATGAAGATACAAAAATTGAAATTTTTACTTAAAGGTGCAATGGTCTTAGCGATCCCATTTAAAGGAAATTTACGCTAAATATTAAAATGAATGTAAAAAAAATGTTGAATAATTTTCAGAATATGACAAGTTAAAACATTAAAGTCAGATATGACGGATCATTAAATATTTTACAATTCTTGATTCATAATAGTTTCATGAAAAACTTATACTGTTCATGGGTGTCCTTGCATAGAAGGCTGCCCAAAACGTGAACTGACATCATCCAAATTGTTTATTTATTCTTCACCTATTTCTGCCATAAAGAGAAACTGCAACCCAGCCTTATAAAGGCTTACTAACTCATAGCATTTTCTTATACGGAATGATTTCGAAAAAATAGACTAAATTGCTATGACTGATCAATTATTATCATAAGATATTGAAATTTTGACGTTTTTGCTATATGAAGCCTTAACTATCGTAGGGTGATTTATATGATGGAGACTTCAAAAAAATGGGCGTATTTGACTCAATTTTTTTTTTTTACATTCATTTAGAATGTCAAAATCTCTGATTCATAATCGCTCGATGTAATAAATGTTCTTTTGTGTGATGCGCCTACAAATCTGCGCCACAAACTTAATATGCCATGTATCACAAGCTATGTAGTGTGTATTAATAGACTTTGATAAAAAAGTCTCAAGGAACTAGAACAAATGTGTGTTGACATAATCTCAAAAGAAATCATAGAAACTTGATTGTCTTCATGAGGACACCGTACATAGGTGTATGTTGAAGTTTGAACATGAACGCTACATTTGCATAAGATAGAGTAACTGAAATTTACTCCGAAGTCCTTACATTTGGAAAAATTTAAAGCAAGAAAGAAGTCATACTTGGTGTTTGCGGACTTTTGAATATCCGATAAAAGCTTGACGAAAATGCTCTCTCAAATGACATTCCTCTCAAGAATTTTTTGATAATTGGCAGCGCAGTTTTGCTCTCGCTTAGCAGACTTTTAAACTTATATAGTTAAACTTAAGTAACAAAAATTTCCCAAACTTGGTTTCTTACTCTAAATCTTCAACTTCTGAGATGATAATCAACACATCTACGCACCAAATCGACTACGCACGCTACTCATGTTAATCATATATATATGGACCTATGGATAAATTCTACGATGTATCGATGTACAAATTTAACTCTTCCCAACTGATGACTATCGAACAAAAGAATGACGTAGAAGGTGTCATGATAATTGACTTAAGTCGTACGTAATTACTTCATAATTTTTTAAAGAACATTAACACAAAGCAACAACACTATCAAGAGACTAGAAGAGAAAGACCTTATTTCAGATAAGAAAATAATTATTTAGTGATAATATAATTAGATATTAGAAAAAAGCAGAACAAATTTCGTTCGTGTTAGAACGAATTTTGGATTTCCTTGGATTTTAAAATGAAACGAAGTGCGGACATATATACTGCTCGATCGGACTTACCTTTATTCTGAACGTTTAGATAATCCCACAAAATATTCTTACTGTACCTGTCTTCCTCTCTCTCTCTTTCTTTCTTTCTCTCTCTCTCTCTCTCTCTCTCTCTCTCTCTCTCTCTACCTCTCTCTCTTTCTTTCTTTCTCTCTCTTTCTCTCTCACTCTCTCTCACTCACTCACTTACTCACTCTCTCTCTCTCTCTCTAGTTTGCAATTATCGGAAATAATAATTTAAAACGCCATTCTTTACAAATTATGTGGGCATGTTTTTAAATTTGGCACGCCTATTATAAAATTTAAACCTGTGAATATAAACTTATGCCCAATATCGGTTTTTCCGCTTCTTTATTGTGATAACGCATAATCCCAGATTGAATGGATGGATAGATAGACCTAACTCACATCTATCGAAATTCAGCAAAGATAATAAGAATAAAAAATAATGCGTCACATTTGTTACATTCACACATATATATATAGAGCTAAAACTGAAATCTACTAAACAATCGTTATACACTCGCAAGGCGTTATATTGATGGACTACATTTACGTTACCTTTTAGAGTAGCATTACTGCAACTTTGAATCGTAATATTTTTTTGTTTTAATTGTCAATAATTTTCATATTTAATAAAAACTTATACAAGGCATCGGTTCGTGAATAAATACCAATTGATATAACAAACTCATGAAAAACGATGGAATAAACTTACAATGTAACCATAGCAAAAAGAAAAAAAAAAGAAAAATCGCGACAAAACCAAAGAATTTATATAGTGCTTACGTGTCACACAAAATACCAAAAAGAATAAAAAAAATAATACAAAAACCAAACGAAAATATAGGAATCACAGAATGTTTGATATACCGCCGAAGTGTCCGGCATTAAGCAATAAATTGAGTAACATATTCGGTTGGCGTCATACTTACAAAGTGTCAGCTAAACATGAGGGCATCACCCATGCTTATCTGCAAAAGTCCTATTCTCTGACGCTGCCGAAACGGCCACCTACGCCGCCGCAAATGCCATTTGCTTGTATTAAGGTAAATTGAATAAATTATTTTCGACTTTTTTTTTTTTTTAAGTGCTAAACTCTGCAGTGAAGACCTTCCCCAAGAATCAATGAATATTTCCTATCTGTTTTTCAATTCAATTATTTCATATACATAAAGTGATTTTTTAAAAGCTCTTCAGAGGTCATTTAACAACGGCCGTAACGACCTACTATTATACTTGATACGAACTCCTAAAAAAAGCCTGTTGATGTTTGAATGTCCAAGAAAGTCCAAAAGGGTCCAAACTCGATGAAAATGGCAAACGATTCTACAGTTCAAAATCACAATTTTTCAGTTTAGATAGCGAAGCAAGAGTTTCGTAAGGCATTCTTCTGTGAAACGTAATTTTTATCTCAACTTAAACTCATATCTGATTCCGCCATTAATTTGACAAGAATCACAAATCGAAACAACTTTGTGTTTCGTCTCCTCTACGTATCTTTCCAAACCACCAGCGTAATCTACATGCAAAGAAAGCATCATAACCAACTCGAAAATTGCAAAGGATAAGGAAAATGTGGAAATGTGGAAATGTATGCTCAAATGAATCTCGAAGGCCAATCGTGTACAGTTTAGGATTAATGTTGCTTCTAGCGAAGGCTAATGAAATTTACCTGAAAATTATTCTCAACAATGAAAGCCTGAAGAAAAGTGGCAAAGTTGCCGTGCAGTTAGGCTGCATGGGAAAGCAGCTCACTGACAGTGGAACGAAGACAACGATCTCTTACGCATAGCAACACTGCTTGGATTGAAGTTCGAATTGTTGTCTCAAACCCAGCGCAGTGTCCAGATTCTGGTCCTGTGATTATTATCTGCTTGCATATCTCAAAACGATGGTCCAGGGAAAACAATTTGGAACCAATTATGAAATTCTTGTGAAAATTAAAGCGCATTTTAAGTACTCTTATAAATCATTGCATAAAAAATGCATCGAAATGTTAGAAAAGCATTAGATTGATTGTATCAATCTTGACGGAGACTATGTTGATAAAAAAAAAAAAAATAAGAAAAATTATAAAACTTTTCTTACTTCATACTTAAGTCCTGAGTCTTACTAATCCCCATATTAGTTAGATTTGTTCGATATTCGATGCAATAAATTATGTATTTGTGTTATTGTTCGGCGATGTTAGAAGTTGTCGGCGAGCGTAGACGCTTCGGAAACTTATCAATTTACTTAGCAATCATCATTAGCTCTGCTTCCGTTCTCAATAATAACAATAAATTATTATTTTTTTTGTAAACAATTACAAAAAAAAAAAAAAAAATATTTGTTTATGATTTTTTTTTTTTTTGTTTTTTAATTTTATCTTGTTTTATTTTATTTTAATGTGACCTAAATTTGTGCTTTAGTGATTTTAAAAAATTTCAACAATTTTTTGTTTTTATTAATTGTTGTGAGCGCTTTTTTTATTATTACTATTATTATTATTATTATTATTAATTTTATGCTTCGTTACCTTTTTGTGATGCAATTTTTTTCTTTCTTGTTTCGCTTTGATTTTCTTAACGTTATTTTGCCACTTAATTTCTTTTGCCTTGTTGTTGAAAATAAACGAATCAGCAAAAAAAAAAAAAAAAAAAAAAAGACAAAGACAAAGAATCAACTCTTGACCATATTTGAACTTTTTAGCTTATGTTGTGGTTAACATTGGTGCTACTATCGTTGGTCTGTCTGTGTATATGCACAATTCTCACCGTCATAGTCACCCACATAGCAATAAATGCCGAAAATATACACCTCGCTGCTTTTGATTGATAATTACTAACTGAGTCATTCCTGATTATCTTGTATTTTCGTTATGGTTTTCTATGGTCATTAAAAAATACTTCGTTCTTTAGTTGCTTTTCCTTTTCCTTTTTGTTTATATTCTTTCTGACTTTTGAGCATAAATTGTGGCTATTTTTTAATATTCATTATAATGCCAGTCAGCACTTGAGAGACGCGACTACATCTTTAGCTACTGCAATCGGCGTTGCTGTCTGTGTATGTTATTCATATTAAATGGAATTTAAGTTTTTGCAGTCCGGTCACGCGCTTGTAATTTTAAAAATTGTTTTCGCACTTCTACATTCGTTTCTAATAAGCATTTTTCTACAACGTTTCTTTAATAGGATCCCGATGCTTGGGTGTCGGTTCATCATTTGCAAACACAATGCGGTATTATAGACCCAGATGATTGTGTTCGCGACGTAGCCGATGATCGTGAGTACATACATGCAAGTTTCGAAGACTCGGGTCCGGATCCAGGTGTACCTCAGGGTGGTGGTGACGGTGCATCAGGTAGTTCATCGGTTGGCACCGGATCTCCCGATATATTTCGTGATCCCACTAATGCTGTAGCGCCTACAAATGGAGCGCGCAATGACAATGCAACACCTCATATTGAGGTTACGAACACAACTATCTGCCCCGTGAAAGGCTTAGGCTTACAAGTGAGACGAAGCAGTGATCCAAATCTATTGGCCACACTGAAGGCAGCAGAAAGCAATGCCAATAAACGTTGGTCTGCGGCGGCTCCCCATTGTGGCGATTCTCCGGAACGCTTGGCAATAGAAAAAAGCGGTTATCTGTTACCGCAATGGGAAGAAGAAGATGACGGAAATCAACAGCAACAGTCTGGCACTCTACAACAGCCATTTGCTCGTTCTGGTCGTTTGTCAATGCAGTTCTTAGGTGACGGCAATGGTTACAAATGGATGGAGGCAGCTGAAAAATTGCAGCACCAACAACAACAACAACAAGTTTTGTCCCCTACTCAAACGCAGTTGTCTACTTCCCATAACCATAGCCAGCAGCAACAGTTCTTTACAAGTAAATCTCTGCCTCGCGAAAGCATGCGTAAAGAGCCACTTGGCCAGGCTTACGAATCCATACGTGAAAAAGACGGGGAAATGTTATTGTTAATCAACGAACATGGTAGCCCCTTAGGGTTAACTGCCATACCCGACAATGATCACGGCGGCGGTCTTTTAGTACAGCATGTGGAATCCGGCAGTCGTGCCGAGCGGGGCCGTTTGCGCAAGGGAGATCGTATTTTAGAAATAAATGGCACAAAACTTATGGGACTTACCGAGAATAAAGTACAAGAATACCTAAGACGTGCCCTAGAAGCATCGGAATTGCGTGTTAGAGTAATAAGAGCTGATGGTCCGGCTAATAAATCCCGCAGACGCGACTCCAAAGTAGCTGAGATGATAGAAGCCGAAGAGAAAATGGCCTCTGGTTTGGAGTCGAAAGTAGCCACCGTATCGCCAACGCGTAAACCTCATACCGCGCCTGCTGGAGCATCTTTGCAAGTAGCTAACACACGCAAATTGGGACGAAAAATTGAAATCATTTTAAAAAAAGGTCCAAACGGATTGGGATTTTCGGTTACCACTCGTGATAATCCTGCGGGCGGTCATTGTCCTATATACATCAAAAACATATTGCCTCGTGGCGCAGCCATAGAAGATGGACGCTTGAAACCCGGAGATCGATTATTAGAAGTTGATGGTGTTCCCATGACCGGTAAAACTCAAACAGATGTCGTGTCCATATTAAGAGCCACACAACCGGGGGCTACGGTTCGTTTGGTAGTATCAAGACAACAAGAATTGGCTGAGCAAGACGAACGTGAAATCGTAGGTTTCTATTTTTTACTCAAATATTTTCAAATATAATAAGGAAAGTTTTACTTCTTCTAGAATTTTGAAAACAAAGAAAATGAATTTGACTCGCCACCAAAGCCACCACCACCTATACTGCCAGCATCTTTGCAAAAACAACAACAGCGCCAAAAGCAGCAACTCTCATCACATGAAATTAAAAAATCAAACAGTGCTCGATCATTATTTGACCAGCATCAGCAGCAACAGCAAAATCAACTCAACGAATCTCAACATTTCATTGATGCGGGCAGTGAATCGGCAGCTTCAAGTGTAAGTTAAACAGGCTTATAGTAAAAATGATCAAAAATTAAAATATATCATTGATTTCATTAGGATAGCCTCCAAGCCGGCATAGCTTGGCGTTCCCGTGAAATGCTGACTCTTCATATTCCGGTGCATGACACTGAAAAGGCAGGTCTCGGTGTGAGTGTGAAAGGTAAAACCACCTCCACAAACAATGGCTCCTCTAACGCTGGTAGTGCAATGAAACATGACGGTGACTTAGGTATATTTGTGAAGAATGTCATACATGGTGGCGCTGCTTCACGTGATGGTCGCTTACGTATGAATGATCAATTGATTAGCGTTAACGGCGTATCATTGCTGGGTCAAAGTAATGCCGAAGCCATGGATACTTTAAAACGTGCCATTGTCAATAATCCAGGCAAACATCCTGGAATGATAACACTGCAGGTTGCACGTAAAATAGCACGCTCAGCTAGTTCGGGAGATATTCTAGATCAAAGCAATGAAAGCTCAAATACTAGCGAAAATAGCGGAGCAACTGTCATCTATCTAAGCCCCGAAAAACGCACAGAAGCAAAATGCAATAGCCACAGCGCTGCAAATGAAATGAATCGGTAAGTAAACGTTTCTAACCTCAACGTTTATTAATTAAGAGGCAATATCTTCTTTCTTGACGAAATTTAAAGGTGGAGCAACCCCGTATTAGATCGTCTAACCGGAGGCGTTTGCTCCGGCAATTCATCGCAAAAACATCGTGCCAATGTAAATGCAGTATTTAGTGCTGGTCCGCATACTCTGCGTAATGAAAGTTATTATATGGCCACGAACGATACGTGGTCACCAGCCTTGCTTCATGGTAGTGGCCCCCACCATAACGGTCATGTCAACAATTCAGTATTAATTGAAGACGATCCTGAACCCACGTCTCCGTGAGTTTCATGTTTAATATATGAATCAGGGATTTTAGAATTTTTTTTGCTATTTCGCCGTTTACAGAACTCTACCCCATCTTCCCAATGATTCCAGCCTTACAAATAACTCTACAATAAATAATTCTGTCTCTAGTGGCCCCGCTGGTAATTCGAGTCACAATTTTGATGCCACCTATTCTTCTCAGCTTAGCCTGGAAACTAATAATTCTGGTGTAGAGCATTTTAGTCGTGATGCTTTAGGACGACGCTCAATATCCGAAAAGCATCATGCGGCTTTAGATGCGCGTGAGACGGGCACTTATCAACGCAATAAAAGGTTGCGAGAAGAACGTGAACGTGAGAGACGTTTACAGTTAACTAAATCAGCAGTATTTAGTGGTTCAATGGAATCACTTACAGCCCGTATAGCACAGGCAAATGCTCAAATCCCAGGTTATAAACATAGCAAAACTGCTTCCGGCATCGAGCAACAACAGTTGTTACAAGCTGAGGCGCAGGATCAGGTAGGCGATCTGGGGCCGTCCTTGGGCTTAAAGAAATCCTCTTCATTGGAATCGTTACAAACAATGGTTCAAGAAATACAAATGTCAGAAGAGCCCCGCGGTGGACCGACAACACTCAGGGCTCCGCGCGGCAGAGGAAGGGAGGAAAGTTTAAGAGCTGCCGTATCCAGTGATCATGACGTAAATAGTAAGTTGATCAACAAATTGTTTTCTGCCATTAACCAACATTCAACTATATACCCATTTTCGATTTTTTAGAAGCTCGCAAGCATTGGCTCTTAGAAGACGGTGATCCCCATGAAGGTGGTTTCTCACAGCGCAATGGTCCCTTTCAAAGCTCATTAAATGACGGAAAAAGTAAGACACGTTCAAAAAAGCCAGGCATTTTACGAGGCATCGGCTCTATGTTCCGTTTTGGTAAAAATCGCAAAGATGGTGTAGCGCCCCTGGAGAATAATCAACAACATCAGCTGCACCATTATAATCATCTACCGCCGCCGCCCACAAATAACGCATACAATGAACGAATACCTGCCAATAATCAAATACCTGCCGCTGCGTTGGCTGCTATGGAACGTAATGCTAAATTACCTCCTCCCGCCTATCAACCGCCTCCCCCTTTACCACCAGCAAATCACAGCGGCCCTGGTGGCTCGATTAATCTTAATGATCATAATCCCGCCACTGCAGGTGGTATACATCAAAATGATTTATTTAATCATCGCTATCAACATTATTCCAATTATGAAGAACTACACAATCATCATCAACAGCAAATTAGGTGAGCGTGCATTTATTTCATATTTAACACAAAATAATCCCATAATATATAGAGCCGCAAACCTGTGGTAAACCATCGTCATTGATAAACCAACAACGTCATTGCAATCAATGCACTCGCACAACCGCATTTGACTCGTCTTTCGTCTTTTATTCCACCCCTTTTAAACATATTTCTCTATCTTAAACCTTTCTTTAAAAAATCAATTAACGCAGCAGTTCCTGCTATTTCTTCTTCTTTTTTTTTTTTTTATCCTTCTCTATGCTTATTCATTCAATTCTAAAACTAAAAATTCGAAATTTTTGAAAAACAAAAAAAAAAAAAAAAACAAACAAACAAACATCGACATTTCTAAATCTATCCATAGTAACGATGATAAGACTTCACAGACTGAAGTTTTATCGGAATCAACATTAGAAAGTATGCGACAACAGGTGCTCAGGCAACGTCAAAAAGTCGAAACTGAAAGGTAACTTTAAAAATCACTACATATCTTGTTAACTTGAGTAAAACTATATTTTTAATTGCTTTGCTTTTATAATAAATTAAAACAATCGTTTGGTAAATCGTTTGGTTGCATTAGTAAATTTATTTGCTTTTTTTCAATTATCGTAATGCCTATTGCTTAAAGTATATTTAGTTTCAGATTTCCAATGCGAAATAGTTAACAAGTAGTCTATGAAATACTTAAGCGGATCTTGCTCTATAATCTTCCCTAGTTAATGCTTACAAAAAAAAAAAAAATTAATAAATAAATAAATAAAAAAAATTTTTACTGAAAATGGGGTTTTCTAGGGATTAGACTTTAGAGAAATTTCTAAAGAGCTTTCCATATTAACATATATGACGGCGCTCAATCCTTCGGCTTGAACTAATAATAAAAATCATCATTAATTTAAATTGCAATTCATATCAAATGAATACTATATGGTTTTTTGAGTGAAGATCTACCACCTCATCGTATTTTGTTTTCAATCATTTTTCCATTTACAATGCTTTCCTGCTAAAATCTTAATATGAGAGACAAGAAAGAGACTCGGCCGAAATCGCCATTAGCTGAAAGGACCTTCCATAACCATTGCAGAAAACATGATAGTAAATAGCGTATTAATGCCTCTGCTATGAATCGCGCAACAAATTGTATAACTCTTGTATTTACATTCGCATTGCATTTAAAAATATGGGATTTGTGGTTAAGCGAATGCGAGGAATGAAACTTTGGAGGCAAAAGCAGAGGGGCACCCTTACCGCAGATTGTTGCAATGAGGACTATCAACTTTCTCGATATGGCTGACGAATAATATACGAAATTTGAAACACGCTTGATAACGTTTTGCTTTGAATTCTTGAGACGAAAGGAATTTCATATGCACAGAACACTAAGTGATTGTCTAAGATATTTCTCAAATTGCCCAATTCCTGCGTAAGCGATAAAATCTTACTTATAGTTGTCTTGTATGTTGTTTTCTTTTCTCGCTAATCCTTGTTGCACCCTAGTGTCCTTTTCTAAAAGGGCACATAATGAAATGAACTAAGTTTCTTTGCAAAATGTTGATCTGTGCCTTGATTGAAGCTCTTGACGCGCCCATAACATACACATACTACGCATAAAGTTGCCTCTACTGTTATTATTTTAATATTAAAAGCCTGCATATCTCTTTATAAACATGATGAAAAGACTGTACGACAAGTGTCGCGGCATAACCTTAAAAACAACAAATTAACAATTTGCATTCTCGACGTAAATATTCGACTCATTAACTTACGCAAATAATTTCGTATTTTATCTCTAACTCAATAACTCAGTTTCTAATAAAATTTAGGAGTAGATTTTTTTTTCTTTTTTTTCTTTTGCGTTAAATTCATTATCAAAATAATGTCTTTTTTAAAAAAAATTGTAAATCATTTTGCGAATTTTTAGTTTCATTAGTAAGCTTTATTATAATTAAGTAATCCTGCTTAACTGTCCTTCACCGCCGCTGACTGAAAATTTTCTAGCTTTATATACTAAATATATTCTGTTGAAATATTTAACAAATTTTTCTTATATTTCTTTTCCATTTCCATGACCTCCTACCCGATATTGATCTTGCTGATGCTGATGCTGATACTGATACTGATACTGATACTGATACTGATGTACCGTGAAATTAACAGTCGCCGTCATCAGCATTAT